AGGCATACGCTTCTGTGCAACAAACTGCGCCCAAGTCAAAAAATAGTTTTAAAATGACAGGTTATCTTGAAAGGAATTTTACCGAATAAATAATAAGAAAATAAAATGCAAAGCAGAAGAATATTACAAACTTTAAACCGGTTCAAAATATATCTACGACATTAATATATCTATCTCTAAATTTAGTCAAATAAAACTGACCCTTGACCGTCATTCGTTTCGACGCCAGATTTACTTCCAGAGTCTTCTACTGTCACGTCAGCAGCAGTGATGCACCTTGTACAGTGAGCAAAGCCATTTTTAGCCACATCGATTTTACAGAAGTTCCGGAAATCATGTTCACCCAGTAAATAATGGCAAGCCGTTCTCATTTTCTAAAAAATTCGATTAAGAATTTCTCTATAGTCGATAAGTATATACCTCAATTTTTAAGTTTCCTTTGGGAAAGTAATACTTGTAAGTACGAGACAAGCAACTGAATCTAGCGCTGAAACTTTTTTCAACGGGACACCAAGCAAGAACTCGAATTTCTGGAGGTAACACTCGATTCAATACCACAGGATAGTCAATTTCACCAGTGGTTGAACTCTGAGCTTTCTCTCGACAAAAGTTTTCAGGAAAGAAAACGCCCTTTCCTTCGGTGACATTGCTGCGAAGGGCGATCGAAACTACCTACAACGAACCAGGTCACAAAAAGAACAGCAACATACAGATTTATGCCGCACTTTTGAATAAGAAAAACTTCAGATGAACCTCGTCACATTTACGTCACAAAACAAAATTCGACAGAATGGAAAAACAGCATCCAGATTACCTTCTCCCTCGATTCAGCTGTTTAGCCTTTCGTTCATAAGGCCACTTATGTCAACTCAGTTTTTCAGTTTTACAAACGAACTCTAGCGTCTAAAGTTTCAATTTCAACCGTTCCAAACTCAATTGTATGCTGTATCTTTGATTCATCCACCGCAAACTACACATAAGATCACGATCGGCTTCAAAATTCCAAACCATATCAACGCCATAACAGAGATGGTGTGCAATGAAATTATCGCTGTGAAATATGATAGACAGATTTTGGACCGGTTCCAGTTCAAAAATCACATCAAATAGTTCTGTTCTTCAACACTGCAGTGGATCACAATCTGTGAAACAAAGCTGAACTGCGCTGTAAAGATTTTACGTTGCAAGAGAAGTAGAGCACCTTACTTACGTCGATGATCTGCATAGTTGGCTAACAATGATAAGACTTTAGTTTGCAGCAAAAGTAGGTCCTCTCCAACTGAGCCTCTTTAATGAAGCTCTTGAAAAACCTGGAAAAAAT